TCATATCAGTGCACCCCAAAAAAACCTACCTAATGTAGGCATTGTAGTTCAAGCTGATAAAAAACATTCTACAGTAACATGCCTCAACAGGAAACCAGACTATGAATGGAAGTGAGGTTATCTCTGAAAGTACTTTTTTTTCCCCCTTTTGGTGAGGCTGAGAGAGAGCAAATAAAAACTATTTGATTGATCAAGCAAAACCTAAGACTTTTTACATAGTGCACACATATTTAAAAAAAAATATAATAAAATATTTCTGAGAAAAATCAAGTATTCTCTTTTTCCTACGAGGTGAATTTTGACACAAGGAAGGGCTAGGATACCTATAAAACAACCAAGCAGAAAAGATTAAAAAGATGTCTTTGATGTCTGTAAAAACTTAACCACATAATCAGGCTATAACATTTATTAGAAAACAGGAAGTGTTTACAATTAGTTAGAGAAGGAAAATAGGAAAAAACCGTTTCAAAAGCTGTAATCTACCTTTTGGTGGTGCTTTCAATCCATTTTCTCTCATCGTCATATGGGGTGAATCTTTATTCTTCTGTCTATTTCCTTTCTACAAACCTGGTTAAAAACCCATTGCAATCTTTTCCCTGATCTCAGCGTGCCGTGGATCAGACCTTCTTTTAACAGACATAGGCTAATTTGCGCAAGACATTTATATTATCTTTTTCCTGCTGCAGACATGTGCAAAAGTTATATTTCACTTGTTTGATGGATTCAGTTAATGAAGAATAGCCTCAGTTCATTTCGGCTCATGCCCAAATATACCAGCTGGATGTAATATTATGACTGAGCTCTCATTATAAAGATGTCATGATAAAGATACCTACAATTTTTGGAGAGAAATTATTGGACTCCCTATGTTATCCATTCATTGTTCCATGGCTGATAATGTCAACAAACAAATATATGTTCTCATTCTCTAGGAAGAAGTCTCATAGGATACTGAGCAAACATCTGCAAGATAATTCAATCAAATTAACAACATCAGTATCTTTGAAGTTTGTAGTGCACAACCTTTTAAAATTCAGTCTGACAAACTTTTATAACTTAGTGGGTGATAGTTAATCCTCTAACTCGGTAAGAAAGGATGAAAAAAATCAAGCCAAAGGGGCAAAATTGAAGGAAATGTGGAAAGCAGGAAAAAAGAGCCTGCATGAATTTAAAATCTGAATTAGTGCAGTTCGAACAGGGATTAGGAGCTTCTGTGCCTGATGACATTAACATAAATTTCCCATTGCTTTGGGGCAATCAGGCCTAGATGCCTGAAGCTTTCTCACAGTAATTCAGCTTTCCAAAAAATACTGAATAGGAATCTAAAACATTAGGAATGTGATGAGAAATAAAATGAATTCTACAGTGCTCTTAACTTCTTTGTGTCTTAGAATCGTCATGGATATTATCAAATGGATTCAGATAATTAAAGCTCTGACTCCCCTCCCAAGTACTGGGAAATATAATACCCAAACTTTGTTGTAAGAAATCAAAATAAAACAAAAAATATACAACTGTGAGGATGCTAAACCACATACTTGACATATCTTTTTGCCTATGAAGACTGTATAGATATTCCTGTAGAATACAAATTGTTTAACCTTTTAAGGAATTATTAAGAGGAACTAATAAAGGGCCTGATAATGCTAGCTTGGTATTAAAAGTGCTGGATGAGCCTCCAGTGCAAGGGTTTAACTGAGTATTTCTGTTAATAATTGTTGCAACAATTGCTACTATCAGTAGAACCAGTCAGCCCAAAATTTAACTGAAATCTACTCTTTTAAAAATACCTTGTTTTTTTACAAAAAGAAATTATGCTTAGCAATTACAAGGTAAGTTTTTTCTTGTATAAAGAATATGCATTACAAAGACAAGATGTGGCTCTCAAACCAGTTACAATCATCTGAAAGACCTACATACAGTTCTTTAGATATTACAGTTTTGTAATCAACAATCAAAGTAATGCGAGAGAGTAATGCAGAAAATTACTGTATGCGTGATATTAGGCAGAAACAGCAAAGCCTTCTATTCTGACAAGTTTATTACCATTAAAATGTTATGTCAAATATTTCTACTTCTTAAGCTGAAGTATTTTCACAAAGAAAACACATGGTATGCAGGTGAAACAATAGCTTCAAGTATCTTGAGTTTGTGCATGCTCATTCTATTGGACTTTGTCCTCACTGCTTGATAGATCATCTATCTTACATATTATGAGTCAAGCAATTATAGAACATCAGCTCTGATTGTATTGATTAAAGCACAATACAGCAGAGCCGACACTGAACTACATTACTTTAAGGAGATCCGTCTGTGAAACATCTGGTGACTCCACCAGCTAGAGAGGCAGATTTCCATGAGTTCCTCACACTTGCCAAGCTTTGGAACAAGAGTAATAAATATTCCCAGTAAAAAGTGAAATTTCAAAGTGAAACGAGTATTTTGCACCACTAGAGTTATTTAAGAAGAATGATGAATACGGGTACATACTTTTGTAATGGTATTTTTGAGGAAGGTTTTTCCCTTTTCTTCACATTCATATAATTCGTTAAGCTATTTTAAATAAATGGCCATTATTTACATCAGATTTATGATAAAAAATATTGAAGGAACTTTGAGAGAAAGCAGCTACAGTAAAAAGAAAAAGAAAAAAGTAAAAAGAAAGCAGTTTCAGATTCTTTCCTCCACTACATGCAGCTTCTTGGTTTTCATGCATTATTTTATAGCCTTATTTTTTCCCTTGAGCTCCAAGACCTAACACTAAGGGGCACCAGAGAACTGAACTGCATTTGTTCATATCCATCAGGAACCAACTATTGCAGCTAACATTGCAAGTTATTCACCATGCTAGGTGGAGAGGGAATGGGGAAAACACAACAGACAAAACAACAGTTCTGTGTGACATATTCTTTGTTACAGAAAACTGCCACTGGAAAAGCAAGGATGCATACATTTCAAAAATACTGAATGTCTTATTACAGTTTGTTGCTAGGTGTTGAAAAAGAACTCTCACTGTTTTTCCAGGCAAAAGTTGGGAAATGTGTGAAAATATGACATGACACAAAAATGGATTATTTTTGAGAAGTCAAGTGTATCTAAACAATCCTAGCATATTGAGTATATGTACTTTGATCTTAGACAAGTGTATACAGAGGAACGCAGATTTAGGAATTCATTTGTGTATTAAGTTAGGATGAGATTTGAATGCCAGAATGTTTTCATTTCCAACTCTTGAAGTTCCACTATGGAGATAAAGAACTTTTCTCATTTTTTTGTGGATTGTAAAATTGCCTATTATCCTCTCATGTTCCCAACAGGACAAAAGGGAAACAATATTAAAAAAAAAAAAGTACATAAATTAACCCTGTTTGCTAGGTGCAGACCCCAATGCCAATTTTCTTCACCCCAAGTTTGGCTGTCAAACACAGAATAATTATGCAGCTACTGCCACGTATCTTAATAGAGCACATTTTGAAAATCTCAAACCTGATATCAGGAACCTGTTGTTTATCCCAGTTGTGTATGGTTTGGTTTAGCTTTTTTTTTTTGTCCTGTATTTCTGCTGCAGTTCCTTTATTCTATCACGAAATTCATAATCAAACTAGCAAAAGGAAACTAAATAAATGACATTACATTTTAGAGATGTAAAGTTATTCTGATTCCCTTTTAAGAGCTTGGTCACAGTATCATCCTGGAACAGAAAGCATTACAAAAAGGCAGATTCAGTACAGGGTCCAGTGTGTCAAATCATTGCAATCAAAGCTTCAAGATCAAAATTAATAATGTACCATTAGCAGATGGTGTGACTAAGAATTGCAAACATGCATTCTGATTTGAGTACTGTAGACCTTTCCTTATAATATTAGCACTTATTTCTGTGTCTTTAAATAGCCTATCAAAATAAAATCAACAGATAACTCCTGCTCAGTGTAGTATTTGACTCAAAGATCTTTTAAGGCCAGATGAGACCATTATGATAATGTACTTTGACCCCAGCATAACACAGGACATAGTATCTCTCTCTGCAATTCCTCCCTTGGGTCTGCATCTTCTGTTAGAGGTATACTGTCTCCTTTTGAAAGACATCTAGCCTTGATTTATTGCTCAAAGTGACAGAAATTTCAGTACATTCCTTCTAAGCTCACCCCTCAGTTAACGACAGCTGCAGTCAGAAACAGTACAGGTTTTGTTCTCCTCTGGTATGGTTTAGTTTTAGATTTCTTTCCACTACACCTTTCAAAGTTGAATTTGAGAACCATCACCAAGCTATATCAGCTTATACATGGTCATGTTTGTTAAGAAAAAAAATCTTTTTTTAACCAAAAAATATGACAAGTCACCTTTTGGGATACATTGTACACCTTGTTCAAGGGCCATTAACAGTTTCTCAGGACAGAGAAAGGACAGAAGGTGGTTGATCTCTGCTGTGGGTCCAAGTGGAAATCATCAGCGATTCATCACCCTAGCAGGAGAGCTAAGCCTGACCTTTCTGTCTTTCTCTCTAGGCACTGACATCTAAACTGGGACACACACAGACTGGTAGTATTTACCCAGCTCAAGTGCTGGACCAAGGTTCTGCAAATCTCCTGGGGGAACAGCTTGGAGTTTATGGTCATTTTCCTTTCCAGCTTGCTGACTGAAAGACAGGCAGCTGTGATCAGGCATTTTACTGTGTGGCCATAACCGGACAGGATGCAGAGCCCGGAGTTTCATATGATATTTGTGATTTGCTATGACAAGGACAGACACGGCAACAGACCTCTCCAGACAGTATCCTGCATGGACATGGTGTTCCATGGTCACAATGGGAAGGAGAGAGGGGTGGAGAGTGGTACCGAGCAGTCCCTTCGGTGAGATGAGTAGAAAGAGTTGCACCGATGAAGCCCCTTGGAGGGGCCATGTGGTCCCCAGTGCCTCTCCCACCTCCTCCTCCTCCTCCTCCTCTGGCAGGAGGAGACAGAGTGGCTGCTGCTGCCAATGCGCCAGGATAGAGAGATCTCGGCGCGGGAGGAGATGACGCAAAAGGGAGAGCTCCCCCCAAAAAAGTGTTTCTCCAGGACGAAGATGGCGGCAACTTAGCCCAGGGGCCCAAGATGCCTGTGCCCATCGGGGGCCCCCAGCCAGGCAGTTCCGCCCCGTGCGCCCGGGGACACCGCGCCCGGCGGCAGCAGCGGCGGCAGCCGCAGCCCATTGTCACCAGCAGCAGCGGCGGCGGCCCCGGTAGCCTCCTCCTCCTCTTCCTCTTCCTCCTCCTCCTCTTCAGCATCCTCAGCAGCGCTCCGGGAGCCTTGCAGCAGCGTCTCTCCAGTTAGAGCGGAGGGGGGAGAGAAGAAAGAGGAGACTAAGACAGCGGTGCAGGCATCTGTGCCGCGGCTCGGGGCTGAAGAAGAGGAGCAGCGGCGGCGGCAGGGAGGAAGAAGAGGCGAGGAGCCCTCCCGGAGCCGTCCGTCGGCAGCGGGGGACGCGGCATGCGGTTGTCCGGAGGCAGTGGGCTTTTCTCAGGAGGGAGATGGGGAGCTGCGATCTGACCATGCCTGGGTGAGAGGGGCAAAGGACCAGTCGCGCAGCCCTGCCACCACCAACTATCACCACTACCACCACCACCATCTCCTCTCCCTCCTCCTCTCTCTGCGTTATTGCTCTTATCTTCTCCACGGCACTCCGCGTTGGATGGACTGGGGCTGCTTCTTGTGGTGAGACCAAGGTAGAGCCACCGGCGAAAACCAACATTATCTCAGAGGAAGAAAAAGAAGGAAGAAAGAAAGAAGAGGGAGAAAGAGAGAGGGGGGAGAGTGGAAGAGGGAGAGAGCGAAAGAGCGAGAGAGAGAAGGGAAGGCAGACAAGAAAATCCCCCCAATCTTTTAAGTCAATGCATATTGTGGTGACACTGGCAAAGGAGCCCTCACGGTGGAGTCGGCCAGGGCTGTGCGTTCCCAAAATATGACCAGGGGTGCTTGGATGTGTAGTCGGCAGTATGATGACGGCTTAAAAATCTGGTTCGCACCCCGGGAGAACGAGAAACCCTTCACGGATTCAGAGAGGGCTCAGAAATGGCGACTGTCCCTGGCATCGCTCTTGTTTTTCACGGTCCTGCTCTCTGATCACTTGTGGTTCTGCGCCGAGGCCAAATTCACGGGGACCGGAGAGAAGGAGCAGCCGCCACCCGAGAAGCCGGAGCCCGCGGAGCCGGAGCTGCTGGCGGGCATGGGGGAGCCGGCGCCCCCCGCGCCCCGGCTCCTCGCCCCCCCCTCGCCCTCCCTCCCGCCCTCCCCCGGCAGCAGCAGTGGCGGCAGCCGCGGCAGCCGCAACAACGGCACCGAGCCCCGGCACGGCAAAGCTGCTTTCCTAGGGAACTCCACCACCAGGCCCCTGGAGACGTGTCCCCCCCCGGGGTCCTCGTCCGGGCAGTGCTTCAGCGTGGGGGACGCGGAGGCGGTGTGCCGGCCGCGCAGGGGGTCGGGGCCGCCGCCGGGTGCGGGGCAGAGCCCGGCGCCCGGCTGGGACCTGACGGATTTTTACCTTTCCTTTTGTAATTCCTACACACTTTGGGAGTTGTTTGCCGGGTTGTCCAATCCGGACACTTTGAACTGCAGTCTGGATGTGGTGCTGAGGGGGGAAGGCTCCTGCAGCCAGTGCGTCCAGGCTTACCAGCGCTACGACCAGCACGCTCAGGAGAAATATGAAGAGTTTGAGGTTATGCTCCAGAAATATTTACAGTCGGATGAGTACTCGGTGAAATCGTGTCCTGAGGATTGTAAGGTAGGAGCCCCTGCTGTGTTTCCTGTCCCTGGCTGGCGGGCTGGCGTGCCTCCCTCGGCTTGTTGTGGCTGCCGTGGTCCCTGTTGTGCCTGCTTCGGTCTCTGTCCCTGGCGCCGGCGGCCGCGGTTCGTACGGTGCAGGCGGAGCTGTGGGGTGTATCGGCCGGGATGCCCCCGTTAGCGCGTTGTTAAAAGGGAGGAAGAGAGAGGGGGAAGCTTGGGAAAAAGCAAAAAGAAGTGATCCTCGGTCCTCTGGGAGCGTAGCGCTGGATTTCCCCCTCCTCATGAATATGCGATTGGCTCCGGCTCGGCTGCCGGCTTCCAGCGGGCTCGGATGCGGCTTGGCGGCAGGCAGCGACAGGGGTTGCATGACAATGAGCGGGGCTCGGAGCGGCGGTCGAGGCCGGACTGCCCGACAGTGCTGCCCTGGCCCCCGGCCCTCCGGGCTGTGGGTGGCCGCGGTGCCCCCCCGAACTGGTTTTCCGTCCCCCTGCGGCGACCAGGGGCACACTCCGGAGGCTCCGGATGGTTCCGTCGGGCGCTTGGCCCCGGGGACGGCGGTGCCCTAGGGGCGGCGGAGCATCGTGGCGCCGGGCCGCCTCGGGAGCGGAGAGCGGGACCGTGCTTCCTGGCGCTCTGCCAAAATCTGTGGACCTGGGAAAAGCTGGAGGACGAGGGTGTCTGTTTAAGGGCAGTGCGATGAACCTTGGTTGGGAAGTGATGGTAACAACGTTTTGATAAGACACAGCTCATTTCTTTGGTGCCACTGGTGACGGCTCAAAGAGATCCAGAGGTTTTTCTTTTCCTGTGCTAGAAGGCAGAGGGTCCTACTTTGTCTCTTGTTGTTGCCTTCTCTCTACTTTTGCACAAGATTAGTTGGCCTATCTCTCAAGACAGGGCAGAAAAAAGTGTTGTCCTGAGCACCTAAAATAGCTACCGACATTCTTCTTTCCCCGTTTCAGTACTTATTGAGGTGAATAGTTTCTGCCCTGAACTGGATTATCTCAACTACTGTAGCTCTACACTAACCAGTCTGAACCAAATTCTGCTTTAGCAGTTAAACACAACAGTGCACAGGCATCACTGCTCTGAACAGGAGGCCTAGAGTACCTCTGCACTTTGTAACTTCAGCAGGGCCTTCTCAAATCATTTCATGGTAACAGTCCATGCCTAAAGAATCCCATTCACCAATACGTTAGTGTAATTTTCACGTCTTTGCCACAAAAATCAATCCACAATCCCTCCAGGAGCTGAAATAGCCCATTATCTAATTGGATAAAGTAGGAAAGTTGCTATATTTATTTGTTCTTGTTAAACCTGACAAGAATAAGGTAGATTCATCAGTAGTTTTGATTCCACTGTTTTTAGGTTGCAAACTGTGTGTGTACACACTCATTGTATATATACTATGTACTCAGTTACTGATAATGTAAATCCATTTTATTTCCAGAGTGAATTGGAAAAGTAAAAAAGGGTGTCAAATGTAAATAGATGTCTACTGCTGTAAGGACATCTTTACCATTTCAGTATCTCTTTAAGTAGAAATTGACCTACTATTCTGTGCTGCCAAACGATCAACATCTACTTGCTTAAAGTGATTTTTTTGTGTCACAGTTTAGTTTGGCTGAACTTTACTGCAAAGTGCGCATTTACTCTACAGAATATGAAAGTGTAAAAGATGTTGAAAATGAACAGAACAGTAAATGTATACTGTATAATGATTTCCCCTGCAGACACCCAATGAGAAGGAATATTTGTCTAATGATGGGGAAAAAGTTGTTGACATTAAGATGATTGTGTGAAACTTAAATGAGCTAGACAAACACAGTGCCAACGACCTACATCTCTCCAGTTCTGAGTGCCAGACGATATTGCTCTATGTTTTGAGAATTTGGCCGACCAGTCTGTGTTAAAAATGAAAGATATTCCAGCAGGGGAAAGGAAGAAAACCCCAACCAAGGGTGCGACTTAGTGGGTTTTCCCTTTTTCCATGGTCTCTGGTGGGCAGTGCAAGTGCCCAGCTAGTGCAGGTGCGGAGGGCAGGGGATGAGCCCTCTGGTGCGGGGCTGGGCCGGGCTGGGCTGGGCTGGGCTGGGCTGGGCTATACTGCGCTGAGCGGTGGGCCCGGAGACCGCTGTCCAAGGTGCTGCAAGGCAGCCCAAACAGCCGGGGCCAGGAGGGGAGAAGCCTCTCTCTGCCCCGCGCCCTGACTTGGTGCTTTTGGGTCCCTCTGGAGCCTTTTGATCCGTGCGGGTGGCCGAGAGAGAGAAGCGGATGGCACGTCCAGCTGTCTGATAGCCGTGTGTGTTGATGTGCTTGTGCGTGGGCTACTCCGAAGAGTGTAGAGGTGAAACTTGAAACTCAAATACTTTGTGACTAATGCAATGTTTTGCTGGGCTTTCTGGTGTTTTATATATTCATTTATAAGACTCAATCAGGAAATTATTATTTTAATGTGTTGGATATTTAGATAATTCTTAGCTTAAGAATCAGAACAGAAAATAACTCGACATCTAGCTATGTGGCTTAGACACATGCTATTGGTTCATGTCATGATTTATGTGGTAAGTTGCTTTTCTTTTAAACAAAATACTGAAAATACTGCCTTTATTCAATAATCATGTATGTAAGCCTTGGCTTAATGCAATGAAAGGCTTGTTAAATAGTATATTTCTATTTAAGACATCTTTAGCATTCTGGGAGGGTGGTCCCATTCACAGAAAAAAAGCTTTTCACCGAGTTCACCAATTATATTAGATGATAAAAATCAATAAAATTTACACTGAATAACACTCAACCTAAAACTTGTAATTGGGTGTTGCTTTCTCCTTCCCCATGTCTCCTCAATACTATCCCCCACCTTTGACACAGTCACTTCTCATAGCAAAGTGTGAAAATCATGGGGGATTTCTCAGTCCAGCAAGATATGCTTTTCCTGAAAGTACTATTGGTGATAATAAACAGTACATCTCAAAAATGCCTTTGGTGCACGAGTCTAAACCTCAGACTTTATCTTTATTCATTTATCTGAAACCAGAAGAAAATGACCTTTACTTTCAAAATATTCCATGTTCCACTACATGTCTCCTGGTCTCTGAAGAATACTTTAAATTAATTGCTTGGTATTGCAGAAGTTTGCAGGCAGAAGCTGTCTGACTTATCACTTCACATTTAGCTATTCTATGTGGTGAGCTTTGGTTTTAATATATAAGTATACTCAGTCTTTTTTTTCTTGCTGTTTTTCCTTTTTTTTTTTTAAGAGTGCTGTCCTGTAATTAAGGTCTTACTATTAAACTTGTTATTGAATTACACTGAAGTTTTTGAAAGTTTTGTAGAAAATGCTGAGAATTTTGCACATTTAGAACATTAGGAAACCCACTTTTTTTGATAGTATCAATGAACATGCATATTCATTTTATATTATTAGAATGTCGGTAGACTTTATGTGTTGTTCAGGGATATCAGTGTTGTCTCAATATAAATGCATCTTCAATTTATTTCTTGGAAACTATCTTTAAAGTCTGATGTCTCTCTATATTGTTTCCTTGTTAGGATAGTCACACAACAGTAGTGGCTAGACAGTAAATATAAGAAAAATATTTGAATGCATTGCATATTCAACTAGATGACATAATAAATTGCTGTAGCTTTATTGAATCACTAAAGTAACGGAGTAACTGAAAGTCTGGATCTACATTTCTGTTTTTTTGTCCTAAATTTAATTTAGATTTTTAAAAAATATTTATGAAATTTGGCTTTTGCATATTATAAATTTGTGATTATATTTGCAGGGATTGCTCTTGACAATATCTATAATTTCTTGATTTCCAGAATATCATTTTTATATGCAGTGTGACACAGTACTGTATTCAGACAATTAACAGAAACTGTATTGACTTGATGCTGGAAGACAGAGTTCCTCATTAAGACTTGTCAGCCTTCTATCAGGGGAAATACTCAAGTTCTTATTCTTAAGGCAGCAGGCAATTGCTCTGTGGAATAAAAGAAAATTCTGGCTACTTCTGATTAAGAACTGGGTCAAATGACTAAGTAGGACATAAAAATGTAAAGGTTTTTAATTTTTTTTGATTTTTTTTTTTAGAGATAGAACTTACATCTTTGTGATAAGTGTCAGAGGCCAGGGCTTTCTTGGCAAATGTATTTGTTAATGTTTGAAGATGACACTAGTCATCATTTTTTGATGCAGGTTTCTTTAACCTAGTGAAAGTTGTGAGTGTTTAAAATGTGGTCTCACTTGTGCTAATTAAAATATTGAAATGTATAATTCAGGTAATGCATTAGAATTAAAATAACATTAAAATTATTCAGTTTCCCTCCTAGAATATCAAAGGAGAAAAATAAAAAAATACCAACTCTTTTTATATCAATATTGTTAAAAGCAAACTTTGGCTGACATCCTAGGTGCTTAACACATATACATAGATTTTTGTTTTTCAGAAATTAAATATAATTTGATAATTTCTGATTTGAGGTTTATGATACTGGTATGTATATGATATGATATATATATGATATTGAGTTATAGCTATTTATAGTTATTATAGTTATTATGGTTGAGTTATAATACTTCTTAGTTGAAAAACATGCATATCAATAAAGGGTTTCATCATTAAACATAGATGGTGTAGCTGATAGGAATATACAGTTGGTATTTCTGTTACTGAAGAATTTTTTTTTGATCAAAGAACTGTGTTCAACCACTTTTATTTGAGTAAGAGGATGATTGAAAGTTATTTAAAACAATTAAAATCACATTTCTTTTTAGGTGTTATCTGGAAATATCAAAGCTTATATGAATCATTACTTTTCCAAGAACTTTTTCCTAAACAGCATATGTAGTCTAATTAGGTTTTAATTTAAACTCTCAACTAAGCTGGCAGAAAAGAGCAGATGAGAAATATGAAACCAAAAGCTCAAATGATAAAAGAACCCTTCTGTTACAAAAGGTTACACAGACCAGCATCTGCCACAAAGTTAGAT